TTTTATCAGGTCGAGTGTCTAACTATTTAAAAGAAAATCACAAAGCTCGACAACAAGCTATTTCAAAAGGGTTGCGAAACAAATTTTTCCATTAACATTATTCAACCCCACTTCTTTGTTTTTTAGAACCAAGTTCTTCTTCCTATAAACACCACAGGTAATACCAGCAACTCTCAGCGTTTGCCAAAGCTTTTCCTGATCACGTAGAAAGCACCTTTTAGTGCAAAACGATCAGTCTTTTCGTATGAAAACAATCTTGCTTCACAAGAAATCCTCAAGACTTTATCACCACGATAATTCTTGATTCTTGGAGCTTTTCTCTCTTTTGTAAGAATTCAAAGAACACACTGAAAAGATATGAAAGTGTAAAGATCAATTCTTCTTATAGAAATCTAATCATGCGTCTATATATAGTATAAGACAAATCAGGCGCGTTTTAATCGATTACGCTATTAATCAAGTCAAATACAAATCACAGTTATAATAGATTAACAGCAGTCAAAGACATTAATTGAAAGCACAATTAATGTAATCGATTTGTAATAAATGGTTGGTCAACATATTTAAAATTATGATCGTTGTGACAGTTATGTCAAACATTTAAACAGTTTTCAAATCTTTAATAGACTTAGTCGAATACAGAATGCATGCAATCGATTAAGTAGTAACACTTAGCATATATTTGAAAACTTTTCTTCTCAAAATTCATCACAACACACTTGAAAAATATTTGTGCAAACATATGAGTTTTAGTCGATTTTACCAATAATATAATCGACTTAAAACTTGTTGTTTTGCCACACTTTAAAGTTCAAACAGTTGAAGCTAGGTGCTTGTGGTTTTTCATTTCCTAAACCTCATATTATGCATACACAAATAAAATCACATATCAAACACAGTGGTATGCAATAATCAACACAATATGTTCACAAATATGCTTGTACAAATACAACACAGTAAGCATAAGCATATAATATGTATAACATAGTACATACACATTTGTTAATATTAATTATGTGTTGTCATCATTAAGAAGACAAATATCACTAAGATTGTAGGTTCAGCTAAACATGTGCTCCTCCTATCAACAATCTCAACACATATCTTCAATTTGGAACACCATAATGTTTTATCTACATTTGTTTGAGGTGTGTCCCTTTTTCATACAATAAAAACATGTGAAAATATTTGAATTTCTATAAAAGACAGTTCCTTTTTCAACCTATACCCTACGGGTTCTCTTATACTTTAGAGCTTGCTTATTTTTATGAAAGTCTTTTTTATTAAAATTTGGATTTTCAAGATTTTTATTTTTAGTTGCCTCTTTAAGCTGATTCTCAAGAATATCAATATCAAACATGTTACTTTTGCATGAAAGGCATCCAATAGGATGTTCAACAATTGTAATTTCTTTCATTTCTAAATTGCAGATTTTATTTCTTAAAATAACTTATTCATTTAATGCCTTATCATATTTAATTTTCAAATCCTTAAATTCATTTTTCAAATTTTTATGTGCAGCATCTAATTTCTCAGACTCATTAAGCAATTCCAGAAAAGCTTTTCGCAAATCCATTTCACAAGTTTTAGAACTAGAGCAACTTACTTGGCTTGTAGTGTCATCAGTATTAGTCATCAAGCACACGTTGGCTTCTTTATTAATCACTTGAACTAGTTGAGCTTGAGTCATTATCATCCCAAGCTATATACGCCTTCTTCTTCTTGTGAAATCTTTTTTCTTTTGTTTCTTCACTTTTCTTGTAGTTCAGACAATCCACTTTGACATGTCCTCTTTCACCATATTCATAGCATTTTTTTCTTTCTTTTCACTTTTGAACTTGTCCTTGCCCTTAACTTTCATGAACTTAGCAAACTTCTTGATCATGAGACTCATATGATCATCATCATCACAGTCATCATCTACTCTTGAACTCTTTCCTTTAGAAACCTCTATTTTGAATGTCAGGGTCTTCTTCTTTCCTTGGCCTTCTTCCGTATTCAATCTATTGAGCTCAAGCTCATACTCGCGAAGCTTTCCAAAACAATATTGCCATGGACATTGAAGATAACTTTTGTGACTCTGAGATTGCGATCACCTTGGGCTGCCAAGACCTAACCAAAGACTTTAAGATTTTCACATTCAGTTCATCAGTATCAAAGGTCTTACCCAATCCATTGAGATAGTTTACGATATGAGTGAAGCGCTTTTGCACATCTGCTATTGTTTCTCCAAGTTGCATTCTGAACATTTTGTACTCCTAGATCAAGGTATTTTTCCTTGCACACTTTACATCATTTGTACTTTCATGAGTGACTCTGAGAACTTCCCACATTTTTCGTCTTGTCTTACAAACAGATATTCTATAGAATTCATCAAGCACAACAGTAGAAGAAATAATATTTGTAGCCTTATTATCAAACTATACTCTTTTATTTTCCTCAGTAGTCCAAGACAAATAAGGTTTTTCTTGTTTAACAGATCTATTTGGGATAAAAGGATCGTTTTCAACTGCTTCCCAGATGCCTCTATCAACAGACCCCATAAAGATTTGTATTATGACTTTCTAGGAAGCATAGTTATCATCAGTAAACAGTGGTGGTCTGTTATGAGAGCACCATCAACATATACTTGGTTATGTTAGACCATTTTCGTAAAATTTGAAAAACTATCAGAGAAAGCTCTAATACCAATTGTTGGAATTGGTATCGTTGGTTGCCGAATGTCGCGGTCGACTTAAATTAATATTGTAGATTAAATGCAGTAACTAGGGAATGACTCCTAGGTCGTCTCTCAAGGACCAATTTTTGGTTCTGTCATAAGATCAAGCACGTAGTGGGGGGGCTTGAACAAATTGTGCAAACTAAATTAATTAACTAAAACACGAATTAAAAATAGGTTAGCCATTAGTTCGATTGCAATGCTTCCAATCACATATTAACAAAAATTATTCACTTCTCTCACCCCTAATCCAACACAAATTAACCAACTAAGTGAAGACTAATATTGTTTTCATAAAAGCGAATTAAGCAAACGCAATGCACACATTCAATCAATTATGCACCACCACAAACTAAGCAATTGTGACTCTAAATCACTTAACTGAAAGTACAGAAATGAGAAGCTGGAGATATTGTGAAACTCTCTATAAAGGTTTTAAAAACTAGGTGTGGATAGAGTGAGAACTTTCACTAGAAATGTGATCAGGTGTTATTGTTATTACTGAGTATAGGTTGTCATCCTTCGTGAAAATTCAAAGGAAGTGTTTATCCTTCGTGAAGATTCAAAGGAAGTTTCCATCTTTGTTGTGTTCAGGGGAAGTAAGTCTTATCTGTTGTAGTTTCAACAGAGGTGTTTTCTAAACCTTAAACTTGTATATGGGTGATTGTAAGTTTAATAGATTTTGCGATAGTGAATCGCTAATCTCTCTTGGTTGGAGATTAACAACTGGACGTATGATTCTTTTGATTTGACTAGTATAAAATCATTTATATAAATTTCTCTTTTCTCTTACTTTATTTACTTTGCTTAATTATCTGCTATATAAGTTTGATTAGAGAGAAAATTTTAAAAGGTACAAATTTTCAAAAGAATCAATTCATGGTTATTGTAAACATGCAAACATTCCGCTGACACGTTCTAACACAAATAAGATTACCATACCCTAAGGGTATAATCGTATTTATTTTAATTATTATCAACTAAATTAACATTAGTCTAACAATAAAATAAATATTTATTTATTTAAAAAATTTAAAATAGTTAGTATTACCATATAGTAAGCACTACTGACTACACTAGTATTGCACTTTGAACGACTTTAATATTTGAAAATTAATTATGTTTTCTTTTGGGAATAGAAAAATAAATTTAGACCTAAATTTTGAAAAGTAAAATGATTTAATATAAATATAAAGTAAAAAAAATTCAATGAATAAATTTTATAATAAAATTGATAAATCTAACATTTAAATATTTTTTAATGACTCTTGCCGTATATAATGTTTTTGAAACACTGTTTCACACCAAATACATACATATGATATATTTTATGTTTATAATCCGTTTACATACATAATGTATATAATGTATAACATATAAAAAGATGTATTATTTGAATATTATGATTTCTGTTCCATTTGTATTAAATATATTTTCAGTTTTTAATTTCTAACGATAAATTAGAATTCATTTTTTTCAAAATTTTGATATATTTTTGTTTTTAAAATTTTAAAACTAATAGATATGTTATTTTAATTTAATTACGAAATTTTGTTATATATCAAACAATATAAATAACATAGATAGATACTAAAATGAAACGTCACCTCAAAATTCAGATACCAATAACATATATAATGTTTTACTAAATTTTAATATTATGATCTTTCGACAGTGAATCCATATTTATTGATTTTTCAACTGTCTTCATGATGACCTGATTATTTACTTTGGAGAAATTTTTCAACTGTCTGCAACAGTCTAATAATTTGAAAAAAGGCAAACCTTTTTTCACCTTTCACGCTCATGGGTTTTCATTTTAATGATAACAGAAGGTAAAGGATCTCTACGAACATTTGAAGGACAATCGAAGATACTATTACGAGTTCAGTATCCAATTTAAGTACGAGATTTTGCTTCGTGTCACATGGACGAACCTGCAGTAATAGTAAAGGAAAGAAAAACGAAACAGTGAAAAGTTTAAGAAATAGATTTAAACTTAATTCAATTATTTAGTTTATAAATAAGATTTAGCCTTATTTATATAATATAATATGAAATAGTGTTATCATTAAACGAATACCAGGTATCAAGAAAAAAACAACTGAACTATAACTTTCCCATATTACTGGGCCAGGAGGAGAGAATATGAAAAACTAGCCCCTCAAAAACTTGCGGGTCCCCAAGAAAATTCAGCTTTTTGTGTCTTGTGTGCTAGGACGAAGATCTTTTAATTATTTTGGAAGAGAAAAGGCGTGGGTTGAAAAGGTATTGAGTCGAGTATAAATAGAGAGGAGGTGGTAGGTTGTCTGATAACAAGGCAAGTTGTATTATTGTTTTGAGGAAACTGATTGATGATGCCTGGAGGAAGTAGGGACCCTCTGGTTGTAGGGCGTGTGATTGGGGATGTGTTGGACCCCTTTCAATGTTCCATTCCCATGAGGGTCAGCTACAATAACAAAGATGTCACCAATGGATGTGAATTCAAACCTTCACAAGTTTTCAACCAACCGAGAATAACTATCGGTGGAGATGATCTCAGGAACTTCTATACCTTGGTAATTCATTCTTCCTTCTCTTCTTCTTCTTCTTCTTCTTCTTCTTCAACTGATTGTGTTTGCCACTGAGTGCAATATATAATTTCATATTTCTCTCGTTAACAGATCGCAGTTGATCCCGATGCACCTAGTCCCAGTGACCCTAATTTGAGAGAATACCTCCATTGGTGAGCCAAAAGTTGTTCCAACACACCATCAATCTTCGTTTATATGAACTCAATTATACATTATAACATTTAACCATCACTCACTCTCAAACGTATTTCAGGTTGGTGACTGATATTCCTGCAACAACGGGACCTAGTTTCGGTACGTATGATATTCCTCCATTCTATTAACCTAATTATTACTCTCTGGGCTGGCTTAAACATATTCAAACCTTTTTTTTAACTTAAATTTGATGGTATTTTGTATCTAGGCTTAAATACTGATATCATTTTTATGTTATTGAGTTTATTCAATTTAGTTCTATTTTCTTTTAATTCAGTTCCATTTTATTTTAAAAAAATTCAGATTAAATTAAATAAAAATAATAAATATAAAAATTAAATTGAATATAAAATATTATGATTGTTTACCATGTAAACATCTTTATAAAATTAAAAAACATAAATAAAAAAGAAAAAAAATTATATAAAGAAAATGAATTGAGAGGTGGGAAATATTAATCACTGAGTATTAATTCTTTAAACGTGATTAGTAAAAATCAAAATAAACAAAATTGAGGAAAATTGAAACCAAATTGAAAATAAAAATAAAAATTGAATTAAATAAATTATGAAAATAAAGACAAAATTAATATTTAAACCTAATACATCTATATTTTAATAGCATAATTAATGTTTTCTTTAAGTGTATTTTTTATGTATGATTTGTCTAAGTTACTAACAACACAGGAACTCAAATTTTCAAACTATTAGTTATTTTTCATTGATCTCTGAATTCCTATCTTTTGTCGTTAGGAGTCGTACGTATCCTTTCCCAAAGTATGAATATATCGTCCAAAATAGTACACTTAAACATTTTCTTATGTTTTTACTACAATAAACATTGTTGCCAATAATATTTTTATTTATCTGGTTAATATTTATACAGTATTATATNTTCACCCTCGCAGCCTCCACATCTGCCTCCGCCACAAGGCCCCCATCCCCGCACCGTTCTTCTCCGATATTCTTCCTCCGCCGCCGCCGACTGCGCAATGCCTCTCCTTCCTCTTCATCGGGTGCTCTTTACGGAAACGGTGGCAGATCTGGGCGGCGTGGTGTGGTTTAGTTGTGGGAGGTTCGTGGGGGTAAGGAAGAAGCGCCTGGGGATGGAGGCGAGACCCAGGGGAGGCGAGAGCCAGGGGAGGGAGTGGCGGAGCGAGAGCGAGGGCGTGAGAGATTGACGGAGCGAGAGCGAGGGCGTGAGAGATTGACGGAGCGAGAGAGCAAGGGAGGAGGGAGAGCGAGGGAGAGGGAGGGAGAGTGAGGGAGAACGAGTGAGAGGGAGGGAGAGTGAGGCAGAAAGGGTGAGAGGGAGGGAGAGTGAGGGAGAACGAGTGAGAGGGAGGGAGCGAGGAGGGAGCGAGGCAGGGAAAGTGAGGCATTGTTAACGAGATCTGGAAAATCAATAGGTCTCGGTCCTCTGCTCGCCCGAAGCCATAAACGCGTATAGGTCTCGGTTTTACACCTGACCGAGGCCTATAGTTCTTAAAAAAAAAAAAAAAAAAAAATTCAGAGACTGTCAGGGGGCAGGTGGGCTTTTAGGCTTCGGTCATTACTTTAACCGAGGTAATATGACTTATATGCTTCGGTTGATTTTGAACCGAGGCGTATAAGTTGGCTTAAATTACAAAAATACCACCGCATTTTAATAGACTTCGGTTGCACCTAAACCGAAGCATATAACGCGAGTTAAAAAGCAGTTTTTTTACTAGTGTATATATATATTTATTGGAGTATAAATAATTTTAATTGGTTGCATCTTCCTAGTTTACATTTGGCTTTGAATTGAATTTGATCTAAAGGAGTCTTGAATTTATTTCGATGGCTAACATAATATGAAACATTAATATAATTTCGAAACGTTGGATATGCGAGGTATAAAAGCATAGAACATCAGATAATATATATAGATATTATTGCACATAGTGAAAGTGAAAAGTGAGTGCGTTACCCATGGATATAGGAATACTAAATGTGAGTGTGAAAGCAATGTAATTAGAAAATCATGCCTTGACCACTCCCCTATTTATTGGTTTTGATCCTTAAAATTTAATTTTTTTCGAGATGATTTCTATGATCACTTTGTGGTATTATGACATGCATGCATATGTTACATCAATCATATTCTTAAATATTATGTTATGTGAGATAGGTAGATAGGCATATATATAATATATTTAAATAAATTCAAATTAAGAGGATTAAAAGTGAAAAAAAAATATAGAGATGATGCATTAAGTCATTTTTACAACGTACAAGTATTAAATAAGAGAATCTCTTGGCTGATAATGATATTCAAAATATACAATAGTAGTTTGAGAATCCAAATTATAAGCCAAATAACATTGGTGTAGGAAAAGATTTTTGCATGTTATTTTGGATATTGTATTTCGGTTATAAAATCAAAATATATTAAGATTTTTAAAAATGAGTAACTTTTTTAAATTTGAGGTAGAAAAGATCTTATTATGTTTCGGTTCCATAAAAAAACAAAACATAAAATTATAAATAAAAAAATAAAAAAAAATGTGAAATTTGTTTTAATTTTCATAATAATAACTAGAACCTAAATTCTTTTTGATATAATTTTTTTTAATTTTAAAGATATTAGAATTTTGTTAATATTAAAATTGAATAATACTTTTAATTAGAGAAGATACTAAGATTCAGTTATAACTATGACCACAACCTAATACCTTTTATATTTCGGTTTGGTTTATAATCAAAGCCTAATATATATGCGTTTGTTTTTTAAATAATTTTTTTGTTTTTATTTTTTTATACATATTAAATTTGCAGAAAATTAATGCAGAACTAATACATAAGTCATGGATTAATCATATGTATATTTTTTTATTGTGATCTTTTTAAATTGTATGTGCATTGTCTGTATTTTGCATGGTCTTCAAGTAACTTGAAATGAAAGTGATTATATCACAATCAAATTTTAAACCTCTAAACCTCTAAACTTAGTGATAATTTTGAAGTTTTGTTCAATCTTTCACTCTAGTTCACCGAAGTAGAACATATATATATATCACTTCAATTCTAAAAAACAAAAACCTACAACTTTGTGTCATAATAAAATAATTAAAAAAGAACAATTTTGAAAATTTTTATAGGCTCACTCGTATAGGAACCTAAATAGAGCATATATGAGTTTGATTCCTTTGTAACTTAGACCTATAAATTTATAAAATTTCCAAAATTATCACAACATCTTTATATGCCTGGTTTATTGAAAATCAAAGTATATCACGCATTTTTAAAAGTCAAAATTGGACTGGTGGAAACAACGAATCATAAAAGCATGGAAACCTTGTTTGTTTTCTCTCTTCCATCAGAATCACAGAGCATTCGAATTCTCAAAGCGCATAATCATGTGGGAAAAGATAGAAGATTTTATTCAAGAAACGACACGAAAAGCAACAGTATGACTGAAGGAGAATATTCATATTAAATAGATTACCTTTTGTTGGCCATCTCTGTAGATCACATGACAAGATAACACCAAAACCTTCATAGTTACAAGGTCTATAGATCAGAACAGAACATCATAGAAAAAGCTGCATAACCTGTTGATGCAACGGGTTTAACAAAATTTGACAAGGTGAAGGAAGTGGTAGAATAAGAATCATAAAAGTTTAAATTCAACTCCAAAATTCTTGATCAAACCTGAGTTCGAGTCCATTAGGGTTACCGTGAGAGACTAAACTTTCATCTCATCAGTTAGAAAACGACACGTAATTCTCTTCTGACATCATTTATAATTGTTTTTAAGATTTTCTAGTATTTTCTAATTGGAAGATATGAAAAGGCACACAACACTAGTGGCTTTGCTTTTTTAAAAAGTGTAGACGAATTTTTATCCACTCGTAGGTTCTTTGAAGTCTTTTTATGTGCAGTAGTAGTAGGACCTTATGTCTTATTAATATCTGAACTGAAATATACTACTTTATTGTTGATAATGAGAGTAACATTTATGTTCATAACTAAATGAGAAATACAAATTATTTGAACAGGTCATGAGGTTGTAACATATGAGAGTCCACGACCCATGATGGGGATTCATCGTATCGTGTTTGTGTTGTTTCGCCAATTGGGTAGGGAGACTGTGTATGCACCAGGATGGCGCCAGAATTTCAACACCAGAGAATTTGCTGAACTTTACAACCTTGGATTGCCCGTTGCGGCTGTCTATTTCAACATTCAGAGGGAATCTGGTTCTGGTGGAAGGAGATTATATTAACAAAACAGAAAACTTTATAGTATACAACAAAATAAAGTACTAATTAAACTTCCTTGAGGGTTTCGGAAATATTCGCAATGATCACCTAGTAAATGAGTGCCTCTTTAACTTAAAATCAACATAGACCAAATAAATCATTTCCTCGGTTGGATAGCACCAAGAACTCTATATATGTATCCATGAATGGAACCGAAGTATCCTTCTTGCTTCTTTTTTTTTTTCTTTTCATTTATGTATTTTCTATTTAAAAAATGTTATAATATAAAAGTGTGTTAGAAATACTTATGTTGCATTTATCCGTACCATACATTTTTAATAGAGGTGTTTTGGAATGCTTTCTTTCTTTTTTTCTTTGTTAAAAAATATACATGTTATGTATGATTTAGTTTTGTTTGAACATAAAAAATTCAAACCAAATTTAATTAAAAATCCAGTTTGATTTGAATTAATCTTGTGATTTTAATTTATAATTTCTTTTATCTATTTATCTATCTACCTATCTATCTATCTATCTATCTATCTATCTATCTATATATATATATATATATATATATATATATATATATATATATATATATATTAAGATGAATAGTTTTATTTGATCAAGCAATCACTATGAATTAAACACCAAATTATATACCACCTAATATTTTGGAGCCATATAACACATAATAATCAAGACAATGTTGTACTTGTTTAGGCATGAATGGAGGGCATGGATGTCTTCCACGTATTTTTAATATTTTAAATTTGAAATAAATCAAATAGTAATTTTATTTGGATAAAAACACATATATTAGGCATCGTTACGAGACTTTAATTTCAACAACGTAAGATGAAGTAATAATTCCTATATATTATAAGAATTAATGGTGAATCTTGATCAGTCATTATGAGTTAAAATAATATACTTAAACTAAGTGTAATTTAATTTTGATGTCCAATTTTCCCATTGTTCATTTTATATACGTCCGTGCAAGTCTTTCTTCCTCTTACATACTCTTACCTTATTTACATGCCAACAAATATATAAAATAAGTGCATCCTTCATAATAATCAATAATATTATTCGCCAAAGAAATGGTGCCACTGATAAAAATAACATTTTTATGTGTAAGAATATATATACATAATATATCCGAAATGCTCGACCCCTAACTATAACAAAAAAATAAAATAAATGCACTTTATATATCTCCTCAATTGCGTTCTTTATCTCTTCTAAAACTCTACTTTTGTTTATATCATAAGATGTGATTATTATTCATAATATTAAATGGAAATCTAGTTTGCGTTTACTGTTCATAGTATTACATTTTAATCGTGTAGTTTGTATTAATATTAATTAGTTTACTAAGTTTTGTTTAAACAAAAAAAAAATCTGTACTATTTGAGGTTTGGTCTTTCAATGATTTTCGTTATATGTAAAAATCATAAATTGAAAGTTGATAACTGCTGACCATCCTAAAAGAATTCATAATCCTATATTTCTCTTAAAATAATACGACAAGGCTTGACTATTGGTGATTGTATCCCGATCTCTAGCATTAATAGCTTACCTAATATTAATATGACTAAGTTCTAGATTCAATCGTATTACAAAAAATTTATACGAGGTTAAAAGTCTTATATAGACTATCATTTTATATTATATATTTTTTTACTAGATTCAATTAAATTAGAAAAAAAAAAATTTATCATTTAAAAAAAATCTTAATTATTTTCATCTTTTTCTCAGATTCAAATTCAATAAAGTTATAAATTGATTAAAAAGTAAAAAGGATCATGTCTAAGAATAAAAATATTCGAGTAAGTGTTATTGTAGAAGATACTAGATAAAAAGAGTCTAAATAATGAATTAAGTAATATTTCTAGATAGATTACAAAAATAGACACAATAAGCCTATCTAATTAATTGAAATTGAAAAAATTTATATTCCCATCACTATATAACAATTGTAACATCCCAAAATATAGTAATACCATAATTCAGAATTAATTACAATTAACAGTGAACAGTAAACAGTCTTAATATTAACAGGAAACCAAGTTTCAAAGCCTAACGGCTGGTGTACAAATAACGTGCGTATTCAAGTGCAGAGAATTTACAACAGAACAACTTAAGGTTTCAGAGTTACAAATTTCAAATCAGAAGTAACGAACACTAATAACGAACGGTTTTACAAAAATGATAACCGAACGTTCCAAAATGATCTGATATCTATACAGTACTAAACTAAGAAGCACTCTAAGGCTCGGCTTTAACTTCGACTTCCACCAGATTTGCATCCTCCAAATTTTCTTCTTCTAGCATGACTTCAAGGGATGCATCACCATCTGCTCACATCCACAACGGATGATCATTGCATTTTGACAAGACGGAGATACATGGACAGTA